GGGACACGGAGGGGGTCCGGGAGGGGGTTTCCAGGGGTTTTTGTGAAGCTGCAGGCCCAGTTGGTTCTTGGATGTGGGACCCTCCTTCTCTGGGAACCACGTGTAGGTCTTGTGGAAGGGGAACCCGAATCTGAGGTCTGCATCCCAGTTCAAGGAGGGAGAGTGAGGACCAGGAGGGCTGAGGGCATGGACTCTGTGACCCAAGAGAGGAGGCAGCTTGGGGCCCAGACCCCTGGGACCCGGGGAAGGTGGGGCTTGCCTGAGCTCCTGCCTCTGAGGGAGGAGAGGCTGGGGGTTTGATCTCCCTAGAGTCTAGGAAAAAAGGTAATCTCTCCCTCTCCCCCCAGTTTTTTAAAATTTCCCTTCTTGCCCAGGCCGGTTTGGCTCAGCAGATAGAGCGTCGGCCTGCAGACTGGAGGGTCCCGGGTTCGATTCTGGCCAAGAGCACATGCCCGGGTTGCAGGCTCCATCCCCAGTGCGGGGAGTGCAGGTTCTTAATCATGCTCTCATCTGACTTTCTAGAGTTTAAATGTCTTATTTTGAGACCCCCTCCTAGGGGACGGAGGACCCAGAGCCACCACGCCCCCTCCTCTCTCAGAGATCCCATCCAAGAGCCTTTGAGCTTTTCCTCTCTCGGGCCCCAGTCTTCCTCTTCCCTTAGCTTCTGCCTTCCACGTGAACCTCCCGAGGTGGATGCCAGGTAGCCAAGCCTCTGGCCACTTACCGAGACCCAGCAGGGTGCCCAGCAGCGTGAAGGCCAGCAGGAAGGCGCTCGGTGTCAGGGACGGCCTCATGGTGTGTGACCCAGCAGCCCCAGATTCCCAGTACTTATACTGGGAGCAGGGGAGGGGCGGGTCTGGACCCACCTTCACCCCGGGGAGAGAAGGAGCTGAGGTAAGATCGCAGGGCAGGCCTCTGCGGCTCTGGGCTGGGGAGGTGCCACCAGAATCCAAAAGGAACATGGGCGTCTTGTGCCCAGCCCCCTCCTCCACAGGGACCCCAGGAGTCTGGGCTTCCAGCCCCATCTATCAGGACGCAGAGGGGCACTTCCCTGTTTTCTCACACACACACACACACACACACACACACACACACACACCTTCTTTTTCTGGCCTGAAGCCCAAGGTCAAAATCCCAGGTCACTTGATTCCCTTTAGGTGTAGGGCAGCTACAAGGTCTGAGAACCCCTCTCTCTTCTCTCTCATCTCAAGGAGGCACCCTGCGTGGGTGGGGCCCGACCTGGGAGCGCCCAGCCTGTCCGGGCTCGTTCTGCGGGGGCCCAGGAGCCTTGTCTCCCTTCCCTTCTTCATGGGCTTGGCTCATACTCCCTGTTCTTTGTTCAGGCTGTCTCCCGCTCCTGCCCGCCTGGGGCTGTCTCTCTGGGTCTGGCGAGGATCCGAACAGAAGGGGTGCCTGTCAACCGGCAGGGGTGAACGGGCGTGGCAGGAGACAGATGCCCACAGGTCACATTGGGAAACTGAGGCATGGGTGGAAGCACTCGAGGCTGGGTGTGTGTGTGTGTCTGGTTTGTGTTTTATTTAGGTTCTTGACGCACTCTCTCCTGGCCTCAGGCATAACTCTGAGAGCTGAGATTTTTTTCCACCGTGTGTGTGGTGGGAAGCTAGCGGGGGAAGAGTGCAGCTGCAGGACCGGTGGAGGATCCTGTTGCAGTACGCTCCAGTGATGGCGAACCTTTTGAGCTCGGCGTGTCAGCATTTTGAAAAACTCTAACTTAATTCTGGTGCCGTGTCACATATAGAAACTTTTTGATATTTGCAACCATAGTAAAACAAAGATTTATATGTTTGATATTTATTTTATATATTTAAATGCCATTTAACAAAGAAAAATCAACCAAAAAAATGAGTTCGCGTGTCACCTCTGACACGCGTGTCATAGGTTCGCCATCACTGCTCCCGGCTCTCTGCAAAAATGCGCTCAGCTTTCCGGGTCCTCTAGGTTTCCAGGCTTCAGTTTGGGCGGCGACTACGTTGTCCAATGAAAATGGGGAATCTCTTCTAGGGACCAATCCGGAGGCCGCTCCTGTTGCTAGGCGCCGGGAAAAACGGGATGTGACCATCACCGGGAGGAGGGGCTAAAGAGTGATAGGGCCGGGGGGGCGGGGCTAGAGGAGAAGCTTGTTGCTAGGGAATTCGGAGCCACGCTCCCGAGAGGCGGGACTGCGCTGGCGCCGGGTTGACGCGTGCGCCGGCGCGCCGCGGTTTGAAAGGCCCGAGCCTCGCGCGCGTGCGCACTTCAGCGCGCGCAGGGCGCACCCCCTCGTCGCCCCTGAAACTCGGACCCTCCTGCGTCCTTCAGGTCCCGCGAAGCCCACGACGCTGACATGCCGGAGATCCGCCTCCGCCATGTGGTGTCCTGCAGTAGCCAGGACACGGTGAGGGACTAGGGTGGGAGACGTGGAGGAATTCTGAGGGCGCTGGCTCCGTGAGAACGTCTGGAGTGTAGAAGGGACCTTCAGGGGAGTCTGAGGAGGGTCGGGGGGCATTTCCAGGCGGTTGGTTATAAGGGGGTTCTGAGAGGGATTTGGACTGGGGGAGCTTCCGGGCGTCCGTGGAAGTTCCGGAAGGAAGGAGGACTAGGAGAGCTCATGGGTGAACTTCCCGGGCGAAGTGTTGTACGGGGCTCAAGGCAGAGCGCGGGGGGAATTAACGGGGACACTTAAATCTGGGGGATCGCGGAGGGCTTGGGAGGACTCGGAGGAGTAGTCTGGAAGTGGGGGACCCGGCTTTCATCTCGGTGCCCTCACATCCCCTTTCCCGTTCTTATGTCCATGCCCAGACCCACTGTGCAGACAACCTCCTCAAGGCGGACACCTACCGGAAGTGGCGCGCGGCCAGGGCGGGCGAGAAGACCATCTCGGTGGTGCTCCAGGTGACCCTGCCCCCACCCTATCCCCTAAGGCCGTGGTTCTCAACCTTCTGGCCCTGTACATACAGTTCCTCATGTTGTGACCCAACCATAAAATTATTTCCGTTGCTACTTCATCACTGTCATGCTGCTACTGTTATGAATCGTCATGTCAATATCTGATATGCAGGATGGTCTTAGGCGACCCCTGTGAAAGGGTCGTTCCACTGTCAAAGGGGTCTCGACCCACAGGTTGAGAACCGCTGTGGGACCTAAAGGGAGTCTGGACCCCAGCCTAGACCCTGCTCGGAGTCTGCAGGTTGAGGGTTTCCCCTGGCCTCAGCTTCCTTTCCTGGACAATGGCAGCATGTCTCTTGCACACTGATATCTCTCTCTCTCTCTCTCGCTCTCTCTCCTCCCCTCTTTCTCCCTCCTTTCCACTCTCTCTAAAAATCAATGGCAAACATGTCCCATGGTGTAGATTAACAACAGCATTGCAGAAATGGTAGTTCGGACTGGCCGCTTCAGTTTCTCTGCACTTGTTTTCTCATCTGTCTTTTGGGAATGATGAGATTCAGGCCCAGGGTTGTTGTGATAATTTGGTGACGTAACGTCTGCAGAGGTGCCCTGTCAACAGGTAGGTGTTTGTGTAAAGGGAGGGATTCCTGTTTTTATAACTGAGTGATGATTCTGCTGGGCTCTCTCATGATCCGAGGGAAATTTCCTGTGACCCCAGGAGGATCACCCCAATCTGTACCTCAGTTGGAGTGGGAGCAGAGAGACTGAAAGCAGAGGAGACAGGACATGGGGGTGAGGGAGGCCCAGGGGCCGGAGCGAGGCACAGGGTTCTCTGACCCGGGAGACTGAGGGAGACAGTGCTGCTGTCACTGAAATGGGAAACCAGAGAGGGGCAGCCTGAGAAGGTGATGTGTCCACGTAACATGTCCAGGTTTGATACGACTTTGGGATTTCTGAGGGGCGTCATCCAACTGGCAGATCGGACCTGGAGCTGAGACAGGTGTGGAAGTTGTCAGTACAGGGACAGGACCTATAGATTCAAGAGTGGGTGGATTCAGTTGTTCATTCAATCATTGAATAATCTATACAGTGGGGCCTTGACTTACCAGTGTCCTGACTAACGAGTTTTTTGAGATACCAGCTGTCTCTCAGCCAATTTTTTGCATTGAGTTGATAGAGTAATTTGAGTTAATGAGCTCCTTAACGAGCTCAGTCTTGGAACAAATTAAACTTGTAAGTCAAGGCCCCACTGTACTTATCACACTCAGTTGATTTATGCATCTGATGTTACTTGATTTTGTGACACCTAACATAATGTTTTGAATTTTTTAAAAAATACATTTTATTGATTTTTTACAGAGAGGAAGGGAGAGGGGTAGAGAGTTAGAAACATTGATAAGAGAGAAACATCCATCAGCTGACATATATAAAAGTCTAAGCGACCATTATGACCAAACAGTTGGAATGACTGGTCGACCAGTCACTATGATGCTCACTGACCACCAGGGGCCAGATGCTTAATGCAGGAGCTGCCCCCTGGTGGTCAGTGTGCTCCCACAGCCAACCTCCTGTGGCCAGCCAACCTCTCAGGGTCCTTCCACCTGGCTGGCCGACAGGCCCATTGGCCCCGATTGCCGGCCAGGCCAAGGGACCCCATTTGTGCATGAATTCGTGCACTGGGCCTCTAGTTAATTATAAAGTACCTTCTATAGGCCAAACTGTTTTAGACATTGGGGCCATATAGCAGTGGACAGCATCAGACATAGATATGTCAGTCCTGTGGAGCTTTCATGTTTGTGGGGAAAGTCAAAAGTAAAACGTAAGTCAGCTGATGAGTGCTGTGGAAGAAAAACAAACAGTTAAGAGGAATGGGGAATGCCCCAGCTGGGGTAGGAGGCAGTGGCAAGAGGTATTTATTTATTTACTTATTTAAAATATTTACATTTATGTTTATATTGAATTCAGAGGGGAAGGGAGAAGGAGAGAGAGAGAGAAACATCAGTGATGAGAGAGAATCATTGATTGGCTGCCTCCTGCACACCCACTGGGGATCGAGTCTGAGACCTGGGCATTTGCCTTGACTGGGAATCGAACCATGACTTCCTGGTTCATAGGTCAGTGCTCAATCACTGAAACATGCCGGTTGGGCTTAAATGTATTTTTATTAAGTTCAGAGAGAGGAAGGGAGAGGGAGAGATAAAAACATAAATGATGAAAGAGAATCACTGATAGGCTGCCTCCTGCACGCCCCCCACTGAGGATGGAGCCCGCAACCAGCAACCTGGGCCTGTGCCCTGACTGGGAATCGAACCGTGACACCCAATGTATGGGTCAACACTCTACCACTGAGCAACACTGGCCAGGCAAGAAGATTTTATTTAAATAGGGAGTTAGGCAAGGCCTCCCTGAGGTGACATTTAAGCAGAGTGAGCTATGTTGTGAGCTATGCAGATTTCTGGGCTCCTAGGTGGGCTGATGCTGGCCTGAGAGGAACAGCTGGGAGGCCTATGGGGGTGGAGTAGAGTTAGCCAGGGGGAGAGAAGTTGGAGATGAGCTAAGAGGGTTGGGGGGGAGGTCCCCAAGACACTCAAGGCCTGAAAACCATTGTAAGGACTTAAGCTTTTACTCTGGTTGAGAGGGAAGCCACTGAAAGGCTCTGAGCAGAGAAGAAATAGAATCTGACTTGGGTTCTCACAGGATCCTGATTTCTGTGTTGAGAATGAACTGCAGGGGGCAAGTCTCTGAGCAAGCGGCATTGCAGTGGTTAACTTAGCTCATGTCAGAGATCCTTTGGAAACTCTGATTGCTTTTGGCAGCTGCCAATATGCAGGGTGACTCCATATTCAGTGAATGCTAATTTTGGTTCTTTTCAAGCAAGTGATGAGGGTAAAACTTCTGGACATCAGGACACATAGACTAATCTGTGTGTTTTTCCTTCCCAACAATATTATGCTACACCTGGATATTACCACATAGGGTTTAGCCCTGTGCTCTTGGTAGCCCACGTACCTTTTTGGTTTGCCATGGCCATGGAATCTCTGTGGCCAACCCACCACTTGCTCTCGGGAGGGAGAGTCCATCTGTTTGCTACTTCTCCTGGCCAGAGGGTATGGCTGGCACACAGCCCAGGTGTAGCTCCTGTGCCCCCCCGGAGGTGGGTTGCTTAGGAGAAATGTTCAACAGCAAGGTGGCGCACGTTTCTTTTTTGTTTTTCAGTGGTTTTCTTTCTTTTTATTTTTTAATCTTCACTCAAGGACATTTTTAGAGAGAGAGGAAGTGTGGGAGAGAGAAACATTGATCAATTGCCTCCTAGATGCACTCTGATTGGGGATTGATCCTGCAACCTGGGTATGTTTCCTGACCAGGAATCGAACCCACAACCTTTTGGTGTACTGGATGACACTCCAACCAACTGAACCACACTGGCCAGGGCTCAGTGGTTACGAATCACTTGGTTTTAACTTGGTTTTCACCTTCTTTTTATGTGTAACATTTGTACAGCAAAGCACACGGTTCTGTGAATCCTCACAGACCGTAACTGTCACCTGCTCCACACTCAGATCAAGTAACAGGACATGCCGCCCCCAAACCTTCTTGTGTTCCTTCTTGTCACTGCCTCCCCCAGAAGGGTAACCATTTTTAACAGCGTCGATTTGTTTTGCCAGGTTTTGAATTTTATGTAAATGGAATCAGACAGTATATACTTTTGGGTCTGGCTGCTCTCCATAGTATGCTTTGTTTTTTAAATATGTTTTTATTGATTTTTTTGTTTGTTTTAGAGACAGAGAGGTTGAGAGAGAGAGAGAGCCCCGCGGTGTGGCTCAGTGGTGGAGTGTGAACCAGGAGGTCGTGGTTGGATTTCCCGTCAGGGCACATGCCCAGGTTGGGGACTCAGTCTCCAGTGTGGGGCGTGCAGTAGGCAGCTGATCAATGACTCTCTCTCATTGTAGTTTCTCTCCCTCTCCCTTCCTCTCTCTCTAAAATCAATAAAAACATATTAAAACATTAAAATTACATAATATTTTTTCAAATAATTATATCTTGGAGATTCATGCCATTGATTTCTACCTTTTAAGTTTCTACCTTTTAAAGTTTATTCTTTTAAATTATACATAACATTGCTTTTCATGGGTGTGGAACAGTTTTTACAAGATGTCTCTTAGGAACTTTGTAAATCTCCATGTGCCATTTGTTTCACTGTCGTGAATTATGACTTCCTGCGAAAGGTGCCCACAAACCTGGCCGCAGATGACAGTCATCTGGTGCTTAAGCCCTTCTGCTAACAGCTGACACTTACTGAACACTCTTTTTCTGAGATAAAACTCACATGACATAAAATTCACCATTGTAACCATTTAAAATCTACAGTTCAGAGATTTTTAGTATATTGACAGTGTTCTGCAGTCACCACCACTCATTGGGGATGTTTTCATCACCCCCAGAAAGAAACCCTATAACCATTAAGCAGTCACTCCCTGTTCTCCTTTCCCCAGGTTGCCCCTGACAACCACTGATCTGCTTTTTGTCTCCATGGATTTACCTTTTCTGGACATTTCATATAAATAGGCTCACACAATGTGTGTGGCCTTTTGTGTCTGGTGTCTCACACTTAGCTATTGTTTTCGAGGTTCCTCCATGTTGTAGCATGTGTCAGTGCTTCATTCTTTTTTAGAGTTCAGTAATAATCCATCGTTTGGAGAGACCAGCGGTCGGCAACCCGCGGCTCGCAAGCCACATGCTGCTCTTTGGCCCCTTGAGTATGGCTCTCCCACAAAATACCACGTGTGGGCGCCCACGTACAGTGCGATTGAAACTTCGTGGCCCATGCACAGAAGTCAGTTTTCGGAAAGGAGATAGGCGAAACAAGTATACAAGACGAGTGTGGATGGGAGAGTTGAAAGGGGTTGACCTCAGCGAATCAGATTGAGGACGTTTTTAGCAAAGGCCAGCTTAGGAGTACCCTAATTAAGTTAATAACAATGTACCTACCTATATAGTTTAAGTTTAAAAAATTTGGCTCTCAAAAGAAATTTCAATCCAACTGTTGATATTTGGCTCTGTTGACTAATGAGTTTGCCGACCACTGGGATAGACCATACAATGTGTATCCATTCATAAGTCTGTGGACATTTGATTTGGGTTCTTTCCATGTATACACATTTTTATGAAAAATTTTTTATTTATGAAAAAGAAGAAAGAACAGAGGAGGAAGTCAGAGAAACACACTCTGGCTGACTGGAAGAAGCAGCGAGCATCCATGTTCTGAGCGGCCTGTGGGGACCATGTGACAAGGAGTGCGAGGGGCCTCTGGCAACTGAGAGTTGTGTCCTGACTGTCAGCTAGGAAGGGGACCTCAGTCCTTCAACCACAAGGAAATGAATTCTGCCAATAGCCAGTCCTCTTAAAAGAGGACCCTGCGCCCCAGATGAGAACCACAGACCTAACCAGCACTAGATTTCAGCCCCGTAAAACCCTGAGCTGAGAATCCGGTCACCTTGTGCTGGCTTTCTGATCTACAGAAACTGCGATAATAAATGTATGTTGTTTTAAGCTAAGTATGTGGTAATAAAAGGAAGGAAAGGAAAAAAGAATACAAGGGAACCTATGTGTGTGCAAAGTAGAGTAGTTAAAAGACTCATTCATTTAAAATACAAAATATATCCATCCTACTAAATGTGGGGCCTGGTGCTTTATGTTGTGGGAGAGGTAAAGATATTGCATTTTTACCTGAAAGGGAGTTGAGAAGGAGTGTTAGTTTATAGTCAGAAAGCTGGGCCCACATTTCTGACTCCTCGCACTCCTTGCCAGTCATAGTTCTGTGTGACATGTGAGCTGTTTATTTAAACCGAGCCTCAGTTTCCCCATCTGAAGAACTGGAATAGTAACTGACCCTTGTGAGGATTCAGTGATGCCTGGCCCAGGAAGAGCTTCGTCAACTGTGATAGGCAGCATAATGGCCCCTGAAAAGGTGCCCCATCCTTGAATATGTCAGTTTACATGGCAGAAGGGACCTTGCAGATATGAAGTTAAGGATCTTGAGATGGTGCGATTAACTGGATTATTGGGGGAGGGGAGGAGAGGACACTATAACCACCAGGGTCCTTATAAGGGTAAGAGGGAGACAGCAGAACCAGAGTCGCAGGAGATGTGGTGATGGAAGCTAAGGTTAGAGGGATGCCATGGCTGACTTTGAAGCTGGAGGGAGGGGCTACAAGCCACGGAGGCAGGTGCCTCTAGGAGCAAGGCAAGGAAGTGCTTCTCCCCTAAAGTCTCCCGAAGAAACAGCCCTGCGGACACCTTGATCTTACTCAGTGAGACCAAATTTCAGACTTCGCACCTCCAGCTCTGTGAGCTGTGTTGTTTTTAGCGAGGAAGTCTGTGGTACTTTGTTACAGCGGCAGCAGGAAACGGATATACTACACACCTGGCACTCAGCGAGAATCTAAAAATGTTAGCCATGGTGATTCTTTTGTGACAGATGAGGACACTGAGGCAAGCAACTCACCAAAGCTGCTTGGTCAGGGAGAGTAGAGTCAGAATTACAACTCAGGGCATTTGTTTCTTCAGCAAATGGTCACTGGGAGCTTCCCGTCCATCTGTTCACTCATCCATCAGGATTGTACTGAGGCCTCTTGTGATGATAGGATCAGCTGACATTTATGGAACGCTTGCACTGTGGCAGGCACTATTCAAGGGGCTTCATGTGTATTCTTCATTTGAATCTTCACAACTGTATGAGGTAGATGTTGTTACTGTCCCCATATTATAGGTTAGGAAACTAAGGCCCAAGGGGTGACATGAAGCCATTTGCTCCAGGATCACACCGCGGTAAGTGAGCAGAGCTGGGATGGATCAGACATTGTTCTTGGCATTGGGGACACAGTAGGGAATGAGTCATATTGCCCCTGTCCTCATGGAGCTTAAAAGACAGGTGTTTGCCAGAAGGGTTTGGTTCAGTGGATAGAACCTCAGCCTGTGGACTCAAGGGTCCCAGGTTCGATTCCGGTCAAGGGTGTGTACCTTGGTTGCGGGCACATCCCCAGTAGGGGGCGTGCAGCTGATCGATGTTTCTCTCTCATAGATGTTTCTAGCTCTCTATCCTCGCTTCCTCTCTGTAAAAAATCAATAAAATATATTTTAAAAAAAAGACAGGTCTGTCCTTTAGGAAAACCCTGGTGACCCCAGACAAGGTGATATTTTACTTGGTTCCCCTCACTGCACCCTCCTCCCTGTTGTTGAGCGTCACCTGTGCCCACCCTCAGGGGCTGCTCTTTCCTGCTCCCGGGAGGGTAGAATCAACCCCCTCTCCTCCCACCCTGGCCCATCAAGGGAGCTGCCTAACCTCCTGCCCACTCTCCTTCCCTCCCCCGCCCCCAGTGGCATAATCTAAGGCAACAGTCACCCTCCCCAGCTCACAGGGCCTAGGACTCCCCGCTTCGGGGAGCGGTAAGTGAGCAGAGCTGGGATGGATCAGACATTGTTCTTGGCATTGGGGACACAGTAGGGAATGAGTCATATTGCCCCTGTCCTCATGGAGCTTAAAAGACAGGTGTTAGACAAATACAAATAAAAAATGTAACTATATAATATCAAGTGGTGATAATGAAGAAAAATAAAGCAGGGACAGGGGCTAGAGAAGCACCTGTTAGGAGGTGGGGAGGCTACTTTGGTTGGGCTGAAGCAACATGTGAGCAGACCTGAAGGATGGAAGGCGCCAGCCACAGTAAGGTTTGGGGAGGGGTAGACTAAGCAGGGGGATGACAGGTGGAAAGGCCCTGCGGTGGAAAGGAGCCAGCCTGTTCTCAGGACAGAAGGAAGGCAACATGGCTGGAGGAGAGCCAGCACGTGTGGCAGGAGGCCAAGAAATCAGGCTGGGACTTGTGTGCCGGGGCAGCACCACACCCAAGAGGGCTCTGAGCTGAGGGCAGCAGTGGAGGCGGGCGGAGTCGTCAGGCCAGCACGGCTCAACCTTGGGAAGGCCCCTCCCGCATCACTTCCTCTCTCTTCAGCATGCTCACCTGGTGGGGAAGGAGCCCTAACCAGCTCTAGCGAGCCTGCACGGTCTCTGGTCCCAGCTCTGCCGCTCACCAGCTGTGTGACCTTAGGGAGTTACATAACCACTTCCTTCCTCCATTTGCTCATGTATAAAATGAAGATAATTATAGCCCTGCCTTGCAAAGCCGTTGTGAGGAGAGAAGATGCATGTATTATGTGTCTGGCACATCGTGGGCCCTTAGATGTTCACAGCAACTGTTGTTATGGTTGTTAGTATCTGTGTCATCCAGCTCGCTTCAGAAGGAGGGTTATTATAATAACAATGAGGACCCTCCCTTTAACATGTGAGTTCCCTGCCTCAGAGAGGTTGTATGTCACCCAGGGTTGCACTCTTAGAAATGACAGGGCTGGATTTGAACCCAGGCTTGACTCATCCCAAGTCCAGGCTCCTTCCTTCCATGTTGGATGCTCCTGTGTGTAGCCCTGTGCAGGTGATGTCTGTGTGAACTCCTGACTGGGAGGTGACAGGGAAGATTGGAGCATCAGATAATCTGAGCAGTCGGGGTAGATGATCTGAGCGGTGGTGGACTAGGTACCTTTGAAGGTTGGAATAACTTGTCATTCTATATGTGTGGTTTTTAAAAATTATCACTGAGTTCAGAGCAAGAAAGGGAGAGGAAGAGAGGGATAGAAAAATCAATGATGAGAGAGAACCATTGATCGGCTGCCTCTTGCACACCCCCGACTAGGGATCGAGCCCGCAATCCGGGCCCTGACTGGGAATTGAACCAGTTCATGGGTCAGTGCTCAACCACTGAGCCACACATGTGGGCTAACTTGTCATTCTAGGATCCAAATACAGGAGTCTTATACTAGAAAGCAGGAGACTTGCCTCAGCTGTTCCCAACTGCCTCCCACCCCCACCTGGCTTTCTGCATCCTTAAATGTCAGAAGGGGATGGCAGGTCCTACAGGTAGCTCTTTCCTTCTTTTGACAGATAATTATTGAGCATCCTCTATAATAAAAGGCTAATATGCAAATTGACCCAATGGCGGAACAACCGGTTGCTATGACATGCACTGACCACCAGGGGGCAGATGCTCAATGCAGGAGCTGCCGCCTGGTGGTCAGTGTGCTCCCATAGGGGGAGCGTCCCTCAGCCAGAAGCTGGGCTCATAGCCGGCTCCACAGCAGCGCTAAGGATGTCTGACGGACGGCGTAGGCCCGCTCCCCATGGGCCTAAGCCGTCCGTCAGACATCCCCCAAGGGCTCCTGGACTGCAAGAGGGCTCAGGCTGGGCTGAAGACCCCCCTCCCCCCCCCAGTTGACTAATAATGCCTCTAGTTGACTAATAATGCCTCCTGACTGACAGTGGTAGAGTGCCTATTACATACGGGCCCTGTGGCCATAGTATTTATGTGCATAGATATGGTTATCGTCCCCATTTTACAGATGAGGAAACTGAGGGTCCATGATGTTAGAGGCCACATAGCTAGTGTTTGGCAGAGCTGGGTTTTGAACCCAGGAAGCAGTGGTCAGAAAACCAGAACAGGGCCCTATCCTCAGGGAACTTCTCCAGAAGCCTTTGTGATTGGGGGTGGAAACTCTGGCAAGTGCTGCCAAGGAGAGCAGAATATAAGCTGGTCTGGCAGAGTCTGGAGAGTCTGGAGGAGCTGGGGAAGAGGGTGTGGGGGTTTATGCATTCAGTGAATTTATTTATTTATTTATTTATTTATTTATGAATTGAACATACCATGATTTTATTGTCATATAATTAAACAAAATATGAAGATTAGAACTGGATCACTTGACCCTTTCTCTTCTTATCTCCTCCCAATTCAAAATGCTTGCATCTCTTAATAGCCAGCATTCTCTTAGATCTGCAGTTAGGCTCAACGCATTCAAGCCTCAGCACAATCTTCCTTGTAGTTTTAGCCTTTTTACGGAAAATTGGCTTAGTCTGCCCACCATAGCCACTTTGCTTCCTGTCATAACGCCGCTTTCCCTGTGCATACAGAGAATCCTTGCCCTTCTTGTACTGTGTTACTTTGTGGGGTTGATGCTTGCCACACTTCTTACAGAAAGTTCGGCGGGTTTTCGGAACGTTCACCATGTCTGCGAGAGCTATCAGCAGGGAAAGCCAGTGAATTTATTTTTTTAAGACAATTCTTTTTGTATTTTTACTTTAAAAAAATATTTTATTGATTTTTTACAGAGAGGAAGGGAGAGGGATAGTTAGAAACAGCCATGAGAGAGAGACATTGATCAGCTGCCTCCTGCACACCCTCTACTGGGGATGTGCCCACAACCAAGGTACATGCCCTTGACCGGAATCAAACTTGGGTCCCTAGGGTCCGCAGGCTGACGCTCTATCCACTGAGCCAAACCGGTTAGGGCCAGTGAATATTTTTTGAGCTCTGAATGCCAAATGCTGGGCACAAGGTGGCACCACTTTGGCCATCTACGTGTCCCAGAGTTGACATTGCAAGGAGATATGGTGGCTCATATGAAGGTCATCCCACTCCCAAGGTCCTACAGTGAGCCCTGGGGCAGAGCAGGCACTAACCGTGGGCTTTCCCTCTCTTGCAGTTAGAGAAGGAGGAGCAGATACATAGTGTGGACATCGGGAACGATGGCTCGGCCTTTGTGGAGGTGCTGGTGGGCAGCTCGGCTGGAGGGGCCGGGGAGCAAGACTATGAGGTAAGCAGGGACTTGCGATGGGCCCCAGGCTGATCCCTGCCCCAGATGCCCCATCCTGGCTTCCCGTGGGTGCCAGACTAGAGTGGACATGAGTCACCCTGACCACTGCTCTCTGGAGGAGCCCGGTGGACAGAGGAGACAGGTGATAAACAGTGCAGAGCAGGGAAGAGACCCAGTTGCATTGTGGTGGCATAAACAACCAGAGGCACGTGTTTTTTCTGAGATTCAGTCACTGCTGGAGAGCAAAACTGCTTTACCCAGCCGCAGGGGCTCTCACAGATGTCCCTGCCAATTGAGATTTCGAATTGTGTGGGTTGCCTCTGTTAGTCACTTGATTTGTAACAGATGTTTCCAAGAAGGAATGCCTTTTGCTCTATTACGAATATTTTTAAAAGTTGGCACAATCCTTTTATTTTTCTGGTTGAATTAATTAGAGCTGGATCGATGAGATCATAGTTAGCTAGCTAATCAACAAAATGTTTTTGGATAAAAATAGACCTGCCGTGACAAAGAGAGTTTATAATTTTAAGTGAACAAACCAGTTTTCTACAAGACGTGTTTTTTTTCTTGCAGTGAGAAATTTTTTGTTTTTGTTTTTAAAGAATGGTTTATTGATTTTTAGAGAGAGAAAGGAAGGAAGAGGGAAGGAGAGAGAAAGAGAAACATCCATTTGAGAGTGCAACATGGAGCAGCATCAATAGGCTGCCTCATTCAGGCCCCCTACCAGGGATGGAGCCAAAACCCGGGCATGTGCCCTGACTGGAAATGGAACTGGCAGCTTCCTTTTGCACAGGATGCCCAGCCAACTGAGCCACACTGGCCAGGGCAGAAATTGTTTTTAATTGTTGTCTATTTTGCATACCATAAAATACACAGATCTTACTGTAGAGGTCAAGAGGCCAATGAGTCGCCGAAACCGGTTTGGCTCAGTGGATAAAGCGTTGGCCTGTGGACTGAAAGGTCCCAGGTTCGATTCCGGTCAAGGGCATGTACCTGGGTTGTGGGCACATCCCCAGTGGGAGATGTGCAGGAGGCAGCTGATCGATGTTTCTCTCTCATTGATGTTTCTAACTATCTCTCTCCCTTCTTCTCTGTAAAAAAATCAATAAAATATATTTAAAAAAAAAAAAAGAGGCCAATGAGTCTTTGACAAATGTATGCACCTGTGCAACTATCTCCCAAATCAAGACACAGAGCACTGCCAGCGTCACTGAAAGTTCCCTGTATCCCTTTAATAGTCATTCCTCCCTCCCCACCATGCCCTTCCTCCTCCCCCACCCCCGCCAGCTCAGGCAACCTCTGACTTCCTTTCTGTCAATATGGGTTAGTTTTGCCTGTCCTAGGTTTTCATATAAATGGAATCTCACAGTGTGTACTTCTTTTGTGGGTGGCTCTTTCACTCACCATATGGTTTTTGGAGATTTTCCCATATTGTGACTATGTCAATGGTCTGTTCAACTTTATTGCTGAGTCGTATTCCACTGTAAGCATAGACCACTATTGTTTTCCAACCTCTTGTTGGTATCTCTGGCCACTTTTTGACTATTGTGAATAATGCTGCTGGATCATTTTTGTTCAAGCCTCTTTTGGAGATTTGTTTTGGTTAAATACCTAGGAGTGGTATTGCAGGGTCTTAGGTTAAATATATGTTTTAACCTTATTAGAAATTGAGTTTTCCACAGTGGTTGTATCATTTTATATTCCCTTCAGCAGTATATGAGAATTCTAGTTGCTTCACATCCTTACCCATTCTTGATATTGCCAGTCTTTTTAATTTTCTAAATTTCAGCCATTCAGATGGCGTGTAGTGGTATTTTATTGTGGCTTTCATGTGCATTTTCCCAACCATTTATGACATGTAATAAGTACCTTTCATGTACTTATTAGTCATTCATTTATCTTATTTTTTTATTAGGTTGTTTGTCTTTTTGTCATGGGCATTAACTCTGTATTTTTTTCAGTCTCTTTTTTCAGATATATGTATTGCAGATTTCCCCCAAGTCTGTGACTTGCCTTTTCATTGCAGTGCCTCTGATGAAGTCCAATCTATCCAGGGTTGTTGTTTTTTTTTAATACTTAGTACCTTTAGTGTCCTCTAAGAGGTATTTTCCTCCCACAAAGTAATGACGATGGTGCCTGTATTAGTTTCCTATTGCTGCTGTAACAGATTGTCACAAACTCAGTGGTTTAAAACAACACACATTTATGATCGTACAGTTCTGGAGGTAGTTGTCTAATATCCAAGGAGATGGCAGGGCTGCATTCCTTCTGGAGGCTCCAAGGGAGAATCCATTTTCCTTCCTGGCCCAACTTCTAGAGGCTGCCTGCATTTCTTGGCTTGTGGCCCCTTCTGCCAGCTTCTAAGCCAACAGTTGCCAACCTTTCGGACCTCACGGACCACCAGTGGTCTGCGGACCACCTGTTGGCGACCACTGTAAGCTAGCAATCACGTCACTCTAACATCTTCTTCATCTCTTCTCTGACTGATTCTCTTGCCTCCATCTTTCTTATAAAGACACTGGACCCACCTGGATAACCCAGGTAATCTCCCTATTTCAAGATCTTCCATTGCATCTGCAAAGTCTATTTTGCCATTTCATAGGTTCCAGGGATTAGACTGTGGAAACCTTTTGATGGCGGCAGGGCGGGGGGGCGGGTTGAGACTGGGGAGAAGGAGGAGATGGATATTATTCTGCTTTCCACCATCTCCTGCGTTTTCTTCTAGAAGCTTTGTATTTATAGGTTTCACACTTAGATCTCTGATCCATTGCAAATGAATTTTTGTATATTGTGTGAAATAGAGGATGACATGCATTTTTCACGTTTGTTGAAAATTATTTATCTATTTATTAAAAAAAATTTTTTTTAAAAGATACTTCCCATCTGGCTGGCATGTCTCAGTGGTTGAGTGTTGACCTGTGAACCGGGAGGTCATAGTTTGATTCCTGGTCAGGGCACATGTCTGGGTTGCAGGCTTAATTCCCAGTGGGGGGTGTGTAGAACCCAGCTAATCAATGATTCTCTATCATCATTGATGTTTCTATCTCCCTCTATGAAATCAATAAAAATATATTTTAAAAAGAGAGAGAGAAAGACTTTCTTTTTCCTATTGAATTGTTTTGGCTCTTTTGTTGACAATTAATTGACCATATATGCAGAGATTTTTTTCTGTGTTCTCTGTTCCATTGATATTTATGTTTATTTTGGTGGTGTTAATCCTCACACAAGGATATTTTTCCATTGATTTTTAGAGAGAGAGAGTATGTGTGTGTGTGGGAGAGAGAGAGAGAGAGAGAGAAGCATCATTGTGAGAGAGACATAGTGATTGGTTGCCTCCTGCACATGCCCTGATCGGGCTGGAGATCAAACCAAAGTACATGCCCTTGACTGGAATCGAACCCAAGACCCTTCAGTCTGCCAGCTGATGCTCTATCCACTGAGCCAAACTGGCTAGGGCTATCTTTTTTTTTAATCCTTACCTGAGGATATTTTTCCCTTTGATTTTTTTAGAGAGAGGAGAAGGGAGGGAAGAAGGGAGGGAGGTTGGTTGCCTTCTGTATGCTCCCTGACCTGGCTGGGGATCAAATCTGCAACCTAGGTTCATGCCCTTGACCGGGAATTGAACCCAAGACACTGGTGAGCAGGCTGACGCTCTAACCACTGAGACACTGGCCAGGGCTATATGTTTATCTTTATGCCAGTACCACACTGTCTTAATAGAAAATATTGAAAACAGATTGTGTTGGACTTCCAACTTTAGTCTTGTTTTGGCTATTCTAGATCTTTTGTATTTATTTCCATCTAAATTATAAAACCAGCTTCTCAGTAGCTTTCAGACCTACAGAAAAGTTGCAAAAGTAGTGCAAAAGACTCCCATATTCCCATTACTCAGATTCCCCAAGTGTTAACACATATGTATAATAGTCATCTCTTATCTTCATAAGTTTTAAATTCTGTGCTGTCTGAGTAGCTTCATGAAATCTTGAACTGTCCTGTCAGGGGCATGAGTCATCCCTTTGTCCAGTGTCTCCATGGTGAATATGCTATCTGCACGTTAGTCACTTAGTAGCCCTCTAGGTTATCAGATCAGCAGTCAGGTTATTCTGTACTGTTTTCAAGTAACCTTTATTTTACCTAATAATGGGCCTAAAGCCATTCACATAACTTTTGCTATGTTAAGTATATTACTATAGTTAGTATACAGGATGGGGCAAAAGTAGGTTTACAGTTGTTTATTTGGAAAATAATCTATACTAATAAAAGACAAACATGCAAATTGACTGTACCTTTGCTATGCCTTAAGCCACGCCCACCAGCCAATCAGAGTAACTGATGCAAATTAACCCAACCAAGATGGCGGCTGGCAGCTACGGAGCTGGAGCGAGCAGGAGGCTTGGTTGCCCCAATGATGGAGGAAGCCAAGCTGCCGCAGCCGTCTCTGAGCTCCACTCAAAGCAACAAAGTTTCAATTATAGAAGGTAAATAAACCTCAGATACCTGCTTTCAGCCGGCCGTGGCCACAGAGATGGAGCGAGCAGGAAGCCCAGCTTCCCTGCTGTGGCTGGCTCTGAGCTCCACTCAAAGCAACAAAGTTTCAATTATAGAAGGTAAATAAATCCCAGAATAAAAAAGAAAAAAAAGGAGAGGCTGGGAGCTTCCATCGCCGGGGGGCTTGGCCAGCCTGAAAATGGCTCTCAGCCCCTCACCCAGACTGGCCAGGCAACCCAGTGGGGACCCCACCCTGATCCAGGACACCCTTCAGGGAAAACCAGCCGGCCCCACCCATGCACCAGGCCTCTATCCTATATAGTAAAAGGGTAATATGCCTCCCAGCACCAG